TGAACAAAAAAATCCTTGAAAATATATATCATCAGAGGGAATGAAGATTAAAGCACTGAGCACGAATTAGTGCTTCTTCGGGCCAAGCTCAGTCGACTTCCTCCATGCGCGACGTGTTGTCATCTCCTTCGAGGGGAGGCATCTCCTCATTAACAGCAGCAGCAGTGTCATCGGCGGTGGGGTCATCCTCATCAGTACCTAGACCCAGCGTGATCATCCTGTAAATCCTGTTCGCGTGGGTCTGCGGGTCTTCCAGGCTGAAGCCAGAGCACAGCAGTGCGGTTTCATACAGCAGGATGACCAGGTCCTTCACAGACTTGTCGTTCTTATCGGCCTCGGCCTTTTACCTCAACGTCTCAATAATCGAGTGGTCAGGGTTTATCTCCAGGTGCTTCTTTGCTGCCATGTAACCCATCGTGGAGTTGTCCATTAGGGCTTGGGCTTTCATGATCCTTTCCATGTTCGCCGTCCAGCCATATGTGCTTGTGACAATACAGCATGGGGACGTCACTAATCTGTTTGACACGACCACCTTTTCAACCTTTTTCTCTAAGATGTCTTTCATGATCTTGCACAGGTTTTCAAACTTTGTCTTTTTCCCCTCCCGGTTTTTTTTTCTCCTCTTCATCTTCTGGAAGTTCCAAGCCCTCTTTGGTAACTGACACAACAGTGTATGCATTTTGTTGAAGTCAATCCACTAAGCATTGGAGCTGGCATTTCTCAGTGAAAGCATTGTATATCCGAGTTTTCTCTGTTCCTTTGTGCTACAAACAGTATTTCTCACTTTAAAAAATCTTTTTGGGATTTGCTTTAAAATAGCAAGTGGGGCAGGAGGATAGCTGCAATTTGGGCCAGCCTGGGCTATATAGTGAGTTCAAGGCCAGCCTCAACTGTATGATGAGACCCTATCTCAATCCACCTCACCCCCCTTTAAAAAGCAAAATAATGATTGAGGGTATCAATGAGAGAAGTGTGGTGTGGAGCTGGGCCGTGTGGGCCTCAGGTTCACATTTTCCATCAGGAGTTCCAGGGCCTTGACTGCGCTAAGCAAAGAGCAACAGAGCCCACTAGCTCCATCCCTTCTTTGATCTAAGACAGAGATCTGCCTGGGGTCACTTTGCTCCTTTCTTTCCTTTGTCTTCTGCTTTCCTTTAGAAAACAACCCATACATTTCTAGGTTAGTGAGATCAACTGCTGCAGTGGACCCTTCCCAAGCTTTTTTATATAACTAAAAGTTGAGCTTAACCCTTTTTTAATTTTTGGTATTGGGAATCGAACTCAGGATCTTGTCCTTGCCAGGCAGGTGCTTGTGTCACTGAGCTATATCCCCACCTCCTGAACCCCGATTTTGATGTGATGGTAGAGCAACCTTTTGTAAAGTAGCTAGAGCAAGGGCAAGGATATTAATTTGGTCGATAGACTGGGACAAAATAGAGATGTCCTAGGGCCTGAATAAATTGTAATATTCTCTTACAAGGGAAGTTGCTGATAAAGAGAAATCTTGATCACATCCTAGAGTGGGTTTACTTTAGGAAATCTTCACATGAAGTCTTATGCTTTATATCTAGATGTCCTGCAAGACCTCATGTGTTAATAGGTGGGGTTTCACAGATTGCATCATAGGGGTGGGATATTCATCAGGATATTAGTGAATGAATCCACTGTTGAGTTTATAACTAAACTGTTGGAGGTGGGGCCTGGCCGGAGGAGGTGGTCTCTGGCAGCTTGGCCTGGAGGGGTTCATCTCCCTCCTCCTCCTCCTGGATCACTCGCTGTCCACTTCCTGTCTGCTATGCCATGAGGTGTTTCTCCTCAGCCACGCCTTCCTGTCATGCCTTTCTTTCTTGGAGCCAACCAGATATGGTCTGAAACTTCCACAAATTGTGAGCCAAAATAAACCTTTCTTCCTTTGAGTTGTGGGTATCAGGCATTGCATTGTTGTGAGAAACTAAGAAATGGAGGATAGATCACAGCTATTAATTACTACCTGTTTATCTAATGGTGTAGTAAATCTATGTATACTTGATAGATGATTGAGAGGGTAAGTTGATTTCTTTTTAAGCACTTTTCAACTTTTTCCTTAAGGAGTTGTATCTTGAGACTTTTTTAGATAAACATAAGCCATTGGGAATTTTCTGCCATAGCATATGTTTTCATAATTGGTATTCTTCTTTTCCACAAAATAAATAAAAATCTATACTTTTTCATGATTGTCTGAATAGTACTTATTCTTTTTTGAGTATTGTTTACTTTTGGCTGAATTTCCTTAGGCGTTTTTATTTGAATCCATGGTTTTTCTCTTGCTGGTTCTTGTGTCCTTCTGCTCAATTAGAGCTGCTGTCCTTTGTGAGTCTCTCTTCTGCCCTTGGCATGTCTCTCGGTGCTTGTGAGCAGCTTGGGCCTGGGATCATGTGATTCGTCAATGTCACCATGTTGCTTCCACTGGCTGCTCCTGCACCTGGGTGGCACAGCTGCCGCCGCCCTGGGTCAGCCTCTCCACTTACACGTGAATGCTAGGAGGTCTGGAAAATGGAAATGCTGTTGTCAGAACATCTGGCTTCAGACTTCGCTTTATGAAACAATGATCTCAGGATGAGTGCTTGAGAAGGAAACGAGACCTCAGGGGTAGACCTGGGTAGGGCTGTGCCTGCGTCGGGGAGGCATTAACAGTTGTTCCAAGACTGCGGGGATACATGCCAGCCAGAAGACAAGGCCGGGGCAGGAGGGGTAGAGCATGAGCTCAGACCATGGGGTGACTGCTGCTGTGCTCCCCGGGCCTTTCTGTGACCCTTCCTATACTTGTGCTCACTGGCATGAAGGTGTCATAACACAGCAGTGTGGGTAGTGGGTGTGGAGACCACACTTGGATCCCCAGGAGCAGGGACCTGAAGGAGAGCCCGAGCACATAATGTCCCCAAAATACTGAGAAGGCTTTAGGTTTCCACAGTAGGCAAAGTTTGAGCTAAGGCACTGAGAGTTCCAGCTACCATCTAGGCTTTCTCCTAATAATATCTGATATAATTTTTGTCCATAATTATCCCAAGAATATATACAGGTGTCATGTGCCAGTTAAAAGCAAAATAATTACAATACCATCGCGATGGTAACTCAACTGCTTATATTACATTTTACATGTTTTTTGCTGTGCTTAAATGTCTTTAATTCTATTAAAAATCTTGCTTTGATTCCAGGGCCTGTGAATGTTAGGCAAGTATTCTACCTCTGAACTACAATTCCGTAAAAACTTCTTTATTTAATAAAGAACATAATAATGCATAATGATGTCTTGGTAGCAATATTAAAAATGGAGAGAAAGAAACACACTTTGGCCAGATGTGCCTTGAACCAGGTGTGGGGCAGGCAGCTGTGTGCGTGGGCAGCCGGCAGGTGTAGTTCTGCGTTTCCAGAGCTCCCAGGGTCTGGTGAGTCAGCTGTCTTTCCATTCTGGTAGCATCTCCAGTCCTGGATCATCTATTAAGAGAACCAGGTGGGTTTTGCTCACTGTTAGAAGCAGTCACTTTCCACATCATTTAATTCTAAAGCTTCACTCAAGACTGCTGGTGAAACCAGGATCCGTAGCATTTTCTCAACTTTCACACTGGACACATATTTCATAATTGGTGGAAAGTAGTTTTCTTTGTATCTTTTTCAAAGGCAGAAAACTGTATTTTGTGGCTTCTCCCAATTATTTGCTGGAGAAATGTTGGAAATGCAAGCCAGGGCAGGGCGTACAAGGAGCAGGAGTATTTTTATTCTATTTTGTTTCCGTGGAGTGAAGCACACATCTAAAGGTATAGTGAAAAATAAACACCTTTCCAAGTCACTTGACATGTTGTAAGCCATCCAGCCCTTCTAACTGCCCTGTGACAGTCATTCTTATCATTTTATAGATGAGAAAGACACAGAGAGGTCAGATAGCTTTCTCAGTCACAGGGCTAGTATGTGGCAGAACCAGATCAGACTTGTGACAGGCTCCAGTGTAAGGGCTTGTGACCAGTATGCTTCCTCTGCAAGGAGGAAAGAGACTGACAGAGACTGCAGCACCTGAACACCGAATCTGCCAGCGCCGCCGCTGCAGTGTCTGTACTGTCCTCTGAGAGCCAGAGTGACCATGTGGCTGGCTCTTGTGCAGGCTCCTCCCAGGAACTGTGCCATTCTCTCTCCAGGTGGGGTGTAAGGACGCCAGGACACCCAAACATTTTAAGAGAAGTAGGTATTTTTGTTTAAATACTTAACCAAACCTTGAGTACAGCGTTACTCCGTGTCATCTTGCAGTGGGGCTCACCTCTTCATTTTTGTTTCTGAGGCTCTATCTGTGCTTGGGGCAGTGATGAGGGCCAGGGCCAGTCACCTGTGGCAGCAGGGGAGCTCACTTGACGTCAGAATGGAGCATTCACTTTTTAGTGTGTGTGGCTGAAGTGAGCCCTAGAACCTAGAAGTCACAAAAGTGAGTGTAAAGGCAACAGAAGTGCCCTGGGGGACTCTGCCTTTTCCGCATAGGAAGTGCCCTGTTCTCCTCCTCCCCACTCTGCTCCAGCTGTCACAACCTGCAGTCCAGCCAGCCTTCAAGTAGAAAGGTCAGATGTTTGATTGTGTGTGTGTCTGGGCTGCAGTTCACTTTTGCAGTGGAAATGTATCGAAAGACATTTCATGGACTGAGTCTTCAGTTGTTAGTGTTGGAAGTTATGTAATTAATTAAATCTTTGACTTCAGGTCATGAGAACGAAATAAAGTTATGAAATAATGAGCCGTGGTTTTGTTCTGGATTGTGAAGAAAATAACAGGTAGTTAAAAATCCAAACAGTAGAAGTTACACATAAAGAAAAGGGCAAATCAGAGTCTTTTAGTATAGGGACCAAAGTTTTGTATTATTCAAGAAATAGTTGCATCAAAACAGCCAATACCAAATCAACTCGTACCATATTTATTGACTTTGTATTGACTTTGTGCATGGATCCCACCTCTCAGTGTCAGCCTACAATTCAGAAAATGTGGTAACAATTACACACGATGATTTTTATATTAAATTAAAAATGTTTATTTTTGGATACATGACGTTAGGGTTCTTTTAACTAGATAGATTATAGCTGTCTAGATAGGTGGATGGATGAGATTTCTTATAGGAATTGGCTCCAGTGGTTACTGAGACTTCGCAGGGTCTGGAAGCTGGAGAAAGGGGAGAGCTCTTGTGCCATTCAGTGGCAAGGCGAGAAGGGAAAGAGGTACAAGGCCCTGTCAGAGTTCATGTGTCCATGGATGTCCCAGGACAGCAGAAAATGAATGATCCAGCTCAAGAAGAGGGGGAGAATCACCCTTCCTGCCCTTTGCTCTGTTGTTGCCCATTGTAGATTGTGTGATGAACCCAAACCCATTCCATATAGAACCATCATGTACTCTGGTAAGGAGGTTGGCTCAGAGGCATATACAATTCTGCGTGTTCTGGATTTGGACAGTTTTATTCTTGTGATGGTGTTAATATGTTTTACTGCTACTACACTTCCTATAAAATACTAGGATTAGATTCAGGTTAAATATGTCAGGCAGTAGTACTTCACCTGTGTGTTTTTTTGTTTTCAAGTGTGTCCCACCAAGAGGTGCATAAAGCTTGGCAGTCTCCTTTGTAATGACACTAAAATTATCAGGGGATTGAGACATTTTCAGGTCAGCCTTCTGTTACAACATTTTCTGTCACCTGTTCACACAACTGTCTGCTAAGGGTCACTGCCAGGCTACAGTATTTTAAGAAGGGGACGCAAAATGGCAGTTTTCTAATTCCTACATTCCTTCTGCGTCTTAGATTACACTTAGTTCAGAGGAATTCATGCTGACAGGTGGTTCTCTGTCCAGCTTTTGGTGACAAAGCAGCCTTGAAGACGGTTGGGCCAGGCTGCTAGCTATGTGTCCAGTGGCCAGGTGGCCATGGCTGATTCCTTTCCTCCTCTGGAAAGGACAACCTTGTAACATGCTGCAATATTCTCTACACGCTCTTCCTGGTCAGTAGACTCTGGGAAAAGTAGGAAAAGCACTACTCAGACCTTTTTTCAGGGGCACAATTTGTTTTTCTGTAACATGCAGAATAAACCAAGACACAGTTGTCAGAATGGCCCCATCCCTAAATTACATCCTTTTCCAAATCTGTTCAGCTCTCAGCCTGCCTCCTGTTGGCAGGAAGAGCCACTTTGGGGAAAAGGGGGTGAAGTGAGGGAGGCTTGTTATTACTGCTCCTAGCAGCAAGCAGCTCCCTTGGCGAAGGACTTCCTGCTTCTTAGTGAGAGATCGAGTCTTCCAGGACAGCCTCCAAGAGCCAGGCTTTGTCATTAAAAGGCTCCAAGGAATCACGTGGAGAGCAAGTCTAGCAACAGGCTAGAGCTCTGAGCCCCTGAAAGGGCAGCCTTTACCCTTTAGCTGAGCGCCAGTTCTACTTCAGAAACAAAAGGCCACGCTTCAGAGCCACAGTGGTAATTGCTAGAACCGACAGCTTCTGGAAGTCGTCAGAATGGCAAGTTCCGGGAAGCGGCTAGTGGAGATCAGTGGACTTCTTGGTACACCGCCAGCTGATCACCAGCATTTGTTTCCTCTTCTTCCTGACACACAGCCAGATTATAACTCCCAGGTTTCCTTCCACTTCTTAGAAGCTGAGCTCTGGTCAGAGGGATGGAACTAGAGAAGTGTGTACCACCTGCAAGCGCGCGTCTGTGGCTGCCATCTCCCTTTTCTCTTTGGGCTGTGGCATGGAGGCGGCAGCCTCCACACAGCCTTGGAAATGGGCAGCCTGCATCGGCCTCCGTCCTTGCCCTCCCACCTGCTCACCTGTCCAGCAGTTTGTGGGCCAGAAAACAGAAATACCTACTGGAGCTGAGCCTACATTAACACACTCCATTTTTCTCTTAAAAGCTATTCTGCTTCCACCTTTTAGCACTAAGCATCTAAAACGCTCCAAAAAACTAAAATTGCCCTCACTTGCCAATAATCTGTTAGCAAGTCCTCGCTGAGGAGCTCTATCTCTCCTGGCATTCGTGTATCTGTCTCTCCTGGCATTCTGAGAAGTCCCAAATTACTTCCAGCTGAAATGGAAAATAAACAAAACAAGGCAGAAACTCATCTGTGGTAGACAGCATAGACCTCCCCCACTCCAGACATCCATGTCTCAGAATTAGCAAATATGTTCCTTTACATAGCAAAAAGGTCTTGGAAGATATGATGAAGAATTATTATCTTGAAATGGGAAGACTGGTGGGGGTCATCTAGATGGGCTCAATGTAGACACAAGAGAAAGCTGGGATGGGGTGGCAGAAAAGTAGATCCAAGAGATGTGATGGGATTTTGACTCACTCTGGCTTTGGAGATGGAGGAAGGAACCACGGACCAAGCAATGCAGGCTGACTTAGGAGCTGGAGGAGAGAGAGTAAGGAAGATGCCCAGGGCCTCCCAGAAGAAAGATGACCTGTTGATGCTTAGATTTTAGCTCAGTGAGACCCATGTAAGCTTCTAGAGCTTACAGAACTATAAAGTAGTACTATTTTGTACTATTTTAAGTTTTTACATTTGTGATCATTTTTATGGTAGCAACAGAGAACTAATCCCACACAAAGCACTAAATAACAGCAACAAAAAAGATGCATCTGTTCAGCAAGCAAGACCTTTAACATATGACCTCAGATATCTGGATGTTGGAGTCATATGGCCAGGTGTAGACCAGCTACAGCTGAGGGCAACTTCGGAGTTTCCAGTTCCACACTTGGTCAAAGTGTTGACGTATCCAAACTCCATGAGATTTGGTTGAAACTAAAGAAGTCCTCAAGTCTCAGGAGGACAATGAAATGTTGCCCTGGGTGTCTGCTGGTGTCATGGTGTACTTGTCAGGACAAGCAGCTAATGCTGTGGTCAGGCCCCTGGGCAAGAGACACAATTAAGATTTTGTTTTCTTCTAAATCACTGCTCCTCCTTTCCTGTTGAAATGTGGCTCACTGCATCTCCTAATGAGAGTGTCATCCTTCTAATTCAGACCAAGCAAAACAGTTGGAAAATAAAACCTCATTGCCCATGGAAGGAGGAGGGAGGAAGAGAGGAAGGATTGTAGACACAGATTGAGGGAGCGAGACCTGGATTCAGATCCCATCCCTTTTTGCCCACAGACTTGCATTTGACCTTTTACTCTCCTTGACCTTGAACTTGAAACTCTGGGAAAATGATCGATAGTACCTGGAATACAGAGGTGGTGAGAATTGATAAGTGATCATCAAGGCTAGTGACCAAGCCACGCAGAACAGAAACTGCTTTCAGTGTTTCTCAGAATACACCAGAGAGCCTTTTTAAGGACTACGATGACTTCAGTGTTACTTCAGAGTTGGGCACCAGATATGTATCTTTGTATACTGAACAATCCTTAGAGTGATAGTAATTCCCTCAGTATAGTTACAATCCAGCTCTGAATATCAAATCCTATTATCTTAATACACGGTCACTGAGCTCTTTTTCTCTTACCATACAGGGGAATCATGTGATCCTGTGATGCAGAACTCAACCTGACACTGGAGTCACGTGGATATATAATACGTGTGTGTGTGTGTGTGTGTGTGTGTGTGTGTGTGTGTATGCATATACATACATACCTATAGTCTAACAAGAAGTAAAAAAATCATTCAATTATAACTTTTCTTTGAAGGGGTACAATCTAATTTATTCCTAAAATCTTAATGAATTATTCAAATAAATTTACTCATTACTTAAAAGAAGATGTATTACTTTATAGTGAGTATTCCTTTCACAAGCTAGGACTCAGGTCCTGGTAGCTGAACTGCCTTCTTCTCTTACCCAATACATGGAGTGCATTCAGCATAAAAGAAAGCAGTACTTTGTGTGTATAAGTGAATATGTAAATAAAAACAAAACAAACATCTAGGTAATATGTAAAAAACTCCTCTAATTCCCTGAAGAAATAATGTATTAGCAAGACCACTAGAAACCACTTTTATGTGTTACATGGAATTAGGACACTAAACATTTTGTACCGCTGACTGCCTGCATTTCATACCTGGATGGCAGGCTGCTTCTCGGCCATGAAATGGTGTGTAACTGATGCCTCGGCAATGCTGTGTCTGTCAGAAGGAAAGAAGAAGGGCAGGGATTATCCTAATGCTGCGTGCATCTCGGTCCTTCAGAAATTACCCAGAAATGTTTAGCCAGACAAAGCACAGCCAGTCCCCGAAGGATGCTCTAAGTTCCCAGGCCTGTTAAAGGAAGGAACAGCATGTGCATGGATCGCCGGGTTGCCGTGTTGGCCGTGGCAACCGCTGGTAATGAGCTGACAAGGAATGCCGTTGCATTTTCTTGCCTTGGGAAAACTTCCAGGTACACATTTTTCAGTGATTGAAAATGTCAGTCGGTGTAGACGGCCTTGTAAACTGCTAGAGGTGAGCCAACACGTGGTCACGCTTGCTCTGCCACTGCCACATTATGCCAGGGAGCCGAGCATCTTCTGTGAGTGCCCTCTCTTCTGCTCTTCCCTGTAGATTGGTGCTCTTCAAACCTTTTTGCTTGATACTCCTGAAAGAAGGTTTTAAGAACTATATATTTGTTTTCATCATTCTAAAAATGAGGTAGAAAACATTACATATTCTGTAAGTTGAAATGAACCCAAGATTGATTATGTGTAGAATAAGTATTTCATGGCATAATTTAATATAATAGGCTTTAATGACCTTAGTGAAAATTAGGTTAAATATGAAAACTCAATTAAAAAAAATATATATATATATATATATATATATATATATATATATATATTCCAGCTCATCCTAAAAAAAAATCTGGTGATTCTAGAAAACATTGGAGTTAATTTAAAGAATAATCCACATCACCTATGTGTTCTACTTTTTTTTGTATTTTTAGGGAAGGGTCTACAGGGTATTCAGGGTCTCACTACTAGATCGAACTCATAGTGATCTGCCTGTTTCCAGGCTCCCAAGAGCTGGGTTTACAGGTGTGCACCACCACGCCCAGTCTGAATTGCCATCTCAGCCCACCCCTGGGTGGGCAGGGCCAGCATGGCAGGCCCAGGGATTGAACCCTGCGCTCCTGCACCTGCTTGTAGGTGCTTTGAGCCACTGAGCTATTTGGCCGGCCCTATGTTACTCTTATCTGTTACTCTTTTTCATTGCTGGGACAAATACCTGACATTCAAAATGAAGGCAGAAAAGGTTTATTAGCTCACGGTTACTGGAGGTTTCAGTCCATACTCGGCTGGCTCTAAGGCAGCGCGGCATGTGGCAGTGAGCAACCTTTCATGGCGGTGGCAAAGAGCAAGAGAGCAAAAGGAGGAGTAGCAGCAGAGAGCTGCTACAGAGAGCAAGTCTGTCTCCCTTATGTTGCATTCAGGCTGTGTGCCCCAGGCTGGGTGTGGCACTCACACCCCTAATCCCAGCAGCATTCACACCCATAATCCTAGTGGATCATGAATTAATTACAAAGTCTAGAAGTTCATCCCATGACTGCATGTGGCTTTGAGGGGACAACTAGACACAAACCATAACAGTTCTGAACTCACATCTTCCCAGTACCCTCAGTCCTACAGACCTGTAGGCAGGATTGGGAGAAACAGAAAGCTGAGGCTCCCACAGCCTGGTATTTTAAATGATTTAGGCTTTCTTTTGCAGAGCTTGAAAAATGTTTCTGCCTAAAAGAAATTAAGATGTAGAAACTTGATGTTGTAAATCTGTCCTGGCTCATGTAGTTTCCAAAAGGCCCCTTGAAGAGTGCTGGCATAGATTATAGATGTGACATGTTAGTCAGCTTGGGTTACCACAGTGAAATACCCATGTGACCAACTTATACAGAGGAGGTGTTGATGAGAGCCACAGTCTTGGAGGTACAAGCCCAGGCAGTGCAGCCTGCTCAGTGAGGGCCACCTCCCTGCTGTGTTACCTCAGGGCTCAGAGGGGGCTGCAGGCAGCGATCAGAGGCCATGTTGGGAATGCACAAGTGACTCCATTTCAAACAGGGAACCTAGAGAGAGGACTGGGCTGGGCCAGAATCAGCTGGTGTGACAACGCTTTCTAGAGAATGACCTTTGAGGCACGTACCAGTGACCCAAGCACCGATGCTGGGCCCTCCTCCAGCAGGTCAAGAGCACTTCCCCAGGCTGCCCTCCCTCCCAGGAGCAGGCCTTTAACATGCGGGCCTGGCCAGCACACGTGAATTCCCGAATCACTGCAGCGCCCAATTAATGCTTTGTAGGAACAGGAATACGGGAAGCGGGAACGAGATAGACAAGGAAAGAATGTGTTCTGCCTTCTATCCTTTCCTTCTTCGTTCTATGGATATTAGAACTTCTGAAGCATTCTGCATGACTCTCAACCTTTCCTGTTACCTATCTTTGTCATTTTAAGCTACATCCCTGAGAGTATGAGAGGAATCCTTTGTTACTCTTCCAGCTCTTGATTTTTTGCTTCAACTGCATCCTTCTGCTACTTTTTTTAATCATATTTTTTTCTTTTTCAACATTTTTCAGGGGCTGGGGAGATAGCTCAGAGGTCTGTGTGCCTTCCTGGCCAGTGCAAAGACCTGAGTTCTACCCCTGGTACTGCATGCCGTGCTGGCCCTGTGCGGGCCTCCAGAACCAGGCGTGGTGGTGCATGCCTGTAAGCTCAGACTGCAGAGGCCAAGACAGGAAGATCAGTAGGAGTCTGAGCTGCTTAGTAAGACCCTGCACCAAATAAATAAATAAATAAATAGTTTATTTTTAAAAAAAAACCTGTTTTTTTCTGTTGCGTCTTGTGTGAATCTGATACTCTCTCAAATCTCTCCTGCAATATTTTAAGCTTATATTGACTTATATTTTTAATGTTTTTTTTTTTCTTGTTTTCAAGTTTTGTTTGTTGTTAGTAAATTTAAAAGCTGTAGAGACTGCATTATGTTGGCAAAACAAGTGACGGCAATATCTATTTTAGTGTTTGGTTCAGATTTTATAGTAGTTTTGTTTATAGAACTTCTAAAAGATGTATCTCTTTATTTCCTAGACCGAATTAAATGTAAGGAAATTTCATTTGCCTAGTTCTGGCCTCAA